CCTCGAGTCCTGATGTTTCCCTCGACTTCGTCTCGGGAAACATCAGGACTCTCGGGAAAACAAAACTAACTGTTTCCCTTGGGATCTGACATTAAGTGTATAATATTACTTTGATCATTCTCTCGGCGTGTTCGTTGACTTTTAGGCTAATTTACCGGTTCTGGGCAAAGTATTTTGAATCATAGCAAAAACAGCCCAGTTTAAGCTTGTTTAGAATCACGACCGACGTACTTAGACTAGGGAACAGTCAGAGGAGGTCACGACTTGATATTTTTGGCGTACTAACGAAGAAAGGTGATCAACAGCTATGAGCATAACCAAAGCATTGCACTGATAGCAGACAGTACACACGGTCTAATCGGTGGTTTTCAGTACTTATCTTGGTACGGCATTTAGTTTGCTATTCAGTCTCGCCTTTGCGAAGAGTTCATAACAATACTTAGCAAAAGAAACCTTCAAAGAATATGACATGTAAATCGTGATTAGAAAAATGATCTAAAGGCTATCCGTTTAAACTTCCTTTGTTCCCCTATGATATAACATAGTAGTTATGCCGGACTTGTTTTCAGTTCCTTAATTTGTTGCTTGATGATTTTGATAAGCAAAAGATAGTCATGCTTTCAGTTAAGATCGATAAGAACTTGTTTGGTTGGCGCTGAATCAAAATTATTATTCATAACGGGCACCCACCCACCTTTAAGTAGGTGCTTTAAAGAGGCTGCAACCTCAAAGTTTTTTGGGGATGCTAGAAATAGAAAAGGCAATAATCATTATTCATATGACATTGTGTGGAATTGTCAAAATTCCTTTTGTTAAAACTACGGAAATTTCAGTGCGATATCTCTTTTGGCCGCCTAAGTGTACCATGTAAGTGTATAGACATGAACATGTAATGAGAAGCTGTAAAGGTTACTCCAGAAAAAAGGCCAACTCCAACAAAACGTGCGTGTCTATGAATACGTACTGAATAAATGATATGGTGATAATGAGATAATGAAGATAAAAATTGAATCAATACCTACATGTACAACGACTTACTTTCAAACTAAGTTTGTTCGAGAAGGAAAACAGACACGTATAACTACGAACCATAAAAGAAAATGAAATAAGAAAGTAGCCAGCGACAGTAAAACAGGAGCAGAACAAATATTTACTATTTTTCACTGATGAGCACGTAGCACTGCTCTGTTCAGTGTTGTGTTTTGGTTCAACTCTCATCATTATGATGGTTCAGTGTTTCGCTGTTTTGTTGATTCTCTCTTCTGAGAGATCATCACTTGGAACAACCACCTCACCTCAGCAACAAAACACTGCAAAATAAATATGATACATGAGGTTGCGATAACAAGGTTGTAATAAGTAAAAAAATATAATAAAAAAAGGATTGATAAACATATTTCATTCCAAAACCGGACAAGAAGCAGACACTCGAAAAGGGAGATGGTGTAAAAGATAACACCCTGTGTTTGGAGAAAATCCAATAAGGGACGGACCATTAGAAAACTTATGGGGGGCGGGCGAAGTACAAAAAAAAAATTCGCTCAAGGGAAAATTAAATGAAAAAAAATTCTTGCACGCCAGTGAACCCTAAAAAATATTCATGCTATGGCCTAAAAAAAATTCATACAAGGAATTTGATAACGAAAAAAAATTCCTACAGCTCGAAAATTCCCCTCCCCCCCCCATAACTTTTCTAATGGTCGGTCCCTAAGATAAAAACAACTGGGCTGCAGTTGATGTAAGAATCTCACTGGACTCGCTGGTTTTCTACCCTATAATGTTGCGCCGGGTGGCACTGTCAAATGGATGAGAGAAAACTAAAAGATTTAAGTGCTAAAGAACCTACTAAACTGTACTGAGCGTTTCGTAAAAGAAGTGGGCCACACGAGGCAAACTAAAAGAACCAAATCCACTATATTCTTATTTCCGGGCCCTGCAAATATCTGCGCTATCTATCACCTTACTACTCATGTCTAGCCCTTGGGAAGCAATGTGTAGAGCAAACCCGGTGGCCGTGATCTCGAATCCTATCGAGTTCATGAGACTTTTTTCGCTGTCTCATTTCATTCTTGTTTCCGCGGCTTCCGGGATAAATGATAGGAATCAATTGACCACTCCAGAAACTACCATAACATACCATAATGCTCTTTGTTCGTCACCCCAAAATTTTGCGTAAGCAGTTTCTTCAGTTTCTCTTGGGATTTAAAATGGCTCCAAGAGGAACTGAAAACAATGCTTATGCAAAATTTTGGGGTGGCAAACAAATAGCATTAAGGTATTGTTATAGTATTTTCTGGGGTGGTCAATTGAAAGTTCAGGGGTGAATATACATTTCTTTTGTTTCATTCCTTTAAGCCTCAGAACAAAGTATTAATATTGACATATCAAAATCGGTCTATTCCCTTTATTATAGGCTAACGGTCAGAAGGGTTATGGTTTGTTTATATCATTCCAGAGTCAATTCTCTATATTCTACCATTTTGTTTTTTATTCACTCGCTGTAAGATAACGGGACCGAAAAAGTAACAACGACATATAGAATTCTGATCTAAAAGGCCTTTCGAAATTTGAAACAAGATTAAACATTGTAATAGGAAAGCTTACTCAATGTTTTCCGAAACAAGAGACACAGAGACGAGGGCTCATCCTAGAAAGATTCCAAAGTGCTCACGGTCTTAGTTGAATACACAAACTTAAAAGAACTAGTCAGAAGTTCATGCGATGTAATACTCTAGGGAGGAGTGTCTTTTACATTCAGCCTTATTCACGCGCATTTTATTTTGAGACCTTCCTTGTGTACCATACAAGCTAAAACGGTCTGTTAGGAGGGGCACTGGGTTCACCCTGGGAACAAGGGTTACAAAAAATCACCCTATTTTGCCTCCATTGCTCAACCGGGCACACAAAATGATAATATATGGGCGCGTTGACGAGCCAAGGCACTGTCCCGTTTATCAAGCTGCAGTTAATATGCTTACAAATGTCCTTTGGGATAGTTATCAAATTTGATAACCCAGACCAAAACAAACCAATAGCCAATTGCTGCACAGATTCAAGTTCACGTGACACGCTATCGAGGAAACAATTTTAAATTCAATATGGCGTCCTGAGGCTTAACCATTTAATTTGTGATTGTACATTTTAAATTGTTCGAATAAAGAGGAACAAATTCGGACTACTATGAAATTTGGATTGAAAATTATTTTTCGTTTATTTCTTCAGAGCTCCTTTGCTAGTTTTTCACTTATTTCCGGGCTCCGGTTCTTCTCTGCACAAGCACCCAGCGAATATGACATGATACAATGAAACAATGAAAGTAGTAAGGAATGGCCGTTTATGTGATTTTGGAAATTTTTTTAACGGTTTAGCTAAAAGCCCACGCGTGCTTCGATCGTCCTGAATATTGAATGAGTGCAATTTGTGTTGCAAAATTGTGAAATACTGCATTCTGTCCGAGGTCTGTATGATAAAAACAGTACCTTATAGTACTGTTTCACCTCAGATGTGATGTATAAATGGTATAAAAGGTTGGTTTACACTCAACCAGATTTGTTGGCATGATTTTGTAAAGTAAACTTGTCGAACGCAAAAAAATTCGACCTGATTTTTTTTCCAGGCCTAATTAATCTTACAGTGATCAAGAGCCGTTATGGTTCTTAAATGTGATCGAAGATGATTGCTATTTTTTAGGTGTACATATGAGGTTATCTACTCGATGTAAGATTTTGTTCACTATTGGGCTGTTTGCAAATTATTTTTTCTCTAAAATCACTTAGCCTTTCCCTAGCCTTTCCCTCAAAAGTCACATGAATGTGCTATGTGCTCTAAAGTTAACTGAATTGTGGAATATATACGAGTTTATTGTTTGATTTAAATTATAAATATACTAATGGGAGCCTCGCTTTTAGCCCTGGCTAAATCTATATATTAATATATTTTGTCCATGCCAAATTTGACTTTTATACCTGCAACGAGTCTTTACTTGTGTTAACCTTAAGTTTGGAGCAAATCATGAGGAAATTTTCAAAAAGAATGAGTTCGATCCGTTTTGGTTTAGTTTTGTTTGAGTTTTTCCGTTTCTGCCCTTTTGTGCTTTAAGAATATCAGAGATAATTGAGGTTCATTTTTTAAACCCTCGAAAAGGCAATAGCAAATAAGAGCACCTGAGTAAAGAGAGCATTATAGTTGAATTTATCTAATGCAGAAAACACTGTAGAAAAAAAAAGTATACAAGAAAGCAATCTGTCAGTAAGTCCGCTATCTTGTCAGAGATACCTCAGTATGATGGCGGCTAGTATAAATTTCATTTGTAACTTTCGGATCACCTTCAAATCCTGTAAAAAAGTCTTAGTGCAGCTACCTGACTCCTGTTTAGAAATGGTTCAGTTAATGTAATTAAACCTACGCCCCCAAACCCCCGTCCCTTGATCGACCGGGACAAAGCGGAGCATTTGATAAACATTTACTACTAAAGTTGTAAAATGCCTCGCAACCCAAGGCCAACTTTTTCCCCTAACTGAAATTAATAACCTTGAATTGATAGCAGTACACGAGTGTCAGTTGATGTTTACACTATGTTACGATGTGGCGTCACGTGGAAATGTGCCATATTGATCCCTATCATTATATTTGCAACTCTTGACCAAGCCCACCTCGGTGAAAAGTGATCATGATAAGCGCCTTTAGGAAACCAACACTTACGAATTAATAATAAAACGGATTATGGGGAGCATGGAGCAAGCAGGAGAATCGGGTAACGGGGAATAGGAAAATAAAAAATGGGAACTTCTTAGAGGTTGCAACCTAAAATCTTTAAGGGTATAAAAATGGAAAATAAAACAAACAGGGCATGTATTTTCACACATACGAGGATTAAATGATGGGTGATTGAGAGTAAAATTGAATAGAAAGAATACTTGCACGTGTAACGGCCAACTTCAACAAGAACGTGGCACGTAACACTGATCTCAGTTCACAGGGTTCTGGTTCAGCTGTCAGCATGGTTCATCATCTCGCTGTTTTCCTGGTTCTCTGTATTTCTGGAGGTTTACAAGGAACAACCAGCCCGCCTCAGCAACAAAAAAAACGAGATAAAAGATTTATGCAAGGTATCGAATTATTTTTTTGCTTTAGTTGACATTTCTTGGTGAGGGGCAGCGCGTGGAAAACAAACTGCGTGAACAAGCCTGCTCGAAGATTAGAGCAATAGTCAAAGTGCTAGCTTTATGGCAGCCTATCTTGATCTCTCTGCGCCTGTTGTTTTAGTGAATTAAAGATATTGCGTCAGCCGAATCTATACTGTAGTTTAACACGTCTGAATTTTTGGTCTAACTGCCTGCTTTTTCTGTTTTCTTCTTCTTCTTTTCATTTGGTCTAGCTCTTGGTCAAAACAGTTTCACTGCCATTTCTCCTCCAAAACAAGGGAGACTGCAATATCTCTGTCAATCAATTTAATTTCATTTAAAGCTAACATAAACGTTTAACGGGGTTATTGTGTTTAAGACACACTTAACTGACAATTCATCTTTGCTTTCAGAAATTTGTTCTCGGTTTCCCTGGCATTCCAGGATCAAATGGTATGCCGGGAATGCCAGACATTCCAGGACCGCAAGGACCCCAGGGAAGGGAAGGTCCAAAAGGGCAGATCGGTGATAGGGGATCACAAGGAATGCCAGGTCTAAGAGGAGACAGAGGGCGCGAAGGGCCTCCTGGAAAGAGCGGACCACCAGGAATTGTGGGAATAAAAGGTGAACCTGGACTTGTGGGAATGAAAGGAGAGCGAGGCATCGTGGGAAATCAAGGAAGAAAAGGAAGCAAAGGCGAGAAAGGAGAAAGCGCCAAAGCAAGTCAAGCAACTGTCGTACCACAAAACAACTGGAAACAATGTGTGTGGAAATCAGACAGCGTTACAGATAACGGAAAGATTAATGTAAACTAGAAACGCGCCTTACGCGGACTCTCGTGAGTGAGTTAGATGATCTCAATCGGTAGAATGAGGTTGAAAATTCAAAATTTTGCTGAGATAAAAGCAATTTAACAGCTATGAGGTTATTAATCTCTTCCTTCTCTCAGCCTTCATTCCGGTTAAAAGCATTAATATCCTACGTTATTCAGCATTACTAGAGTTGCAGCCTTATAAATCTTTTTTTTTTTTTCTTTCCAGGACTGTGCTTTTAAAAGGTTGAAGTCGGATACAGCGCTTAGAGTCTCATTTCACGGAACCATGAGGGTCCACGGTGATTCTAAGTGTAATCGGTGGTATTTCAAATTTAATGGAAACGAATGCAGTGCATTACGAGCCGCAAGGTCGATTTTCGTGCACGCACCAGGGATCCTTAATTTCCATGGAGATACCCACAAACTGGACTCAAGTAACTACAAGGCGTTAGTCTTGACACATTTCCTTGCGCACCTCAGGTGTGCACATTAATCGCTTTCTGTCAGTTCATCTGTCAATAAACTCATTTTAGGACAGGACACAAATTTGCGTCAAATATCAGAGCTTGTCTTCTGCGCGCCGAATTTATACCATCGGAGCGAGATATTTTAACTCAGCTATGGCTCTCGTCAAAATCGCTTAATGAAAATAATTGAATTCATGGTTGGAGTTAAAAAAGGGTCTTGGTGCAAGTCTTGGAAAAAAAAGAAATATTTTTTTCGTTTCTTAAGCGAAAGGCAAAATCTAGTGCTTTATGAAGGTCGAATTCGAACCCTCCAAAGTAATGATTATTCGGTACGTTACCTGGTAAGTTACATAATTATTGTCGCCGAAATGGTTTCAAAAGTTCAACGTGAAGAGTTCTGGATGTTATTTCGCATCATGTCCGAAGCACAGAAACTGTGTTCGCCGATATAAGGTAAGAGAGACCTTACTATTTAAAAGGTAGAGGAGCAGCTTGTTATGGCCGTCGCATGCGGAGTTCGAGCACATCGGTGAAGCCGGTTTGACGACACTGAGGAAAACTGAGGAAAATATTTACTTGCCTTTGGTACTGTGTATATCCTCGATCACTATACAATAACGCACAAATATTATAATTCAAAGGGCATTTACAACACGCGCCAAAAGAGCCGTGATCCTGCCAAGTGCTCGAACCATCTAACATAGTGTAAAAAGGGGGCAACACACGACTTTTACCTCGTGCCAAAATGCTGCTTGTGCCAAAAATTGTTTTCTCTGGTGGGCATATTATATTCTGGGTTCTACTCTTTGAATGAGTAAATGTGAATTTTACCGCTTGTTTCATACTGAGAGGTCATGACACGCATATTGATTTTCTGCGGTTATTGTTTCTGGTCGGCATGATTTGTCCTCTGATGCAAGAGCACTTTCTTCGACCTCTTTTGAAACGTAAATCTCTTCCTTTGCGGCTAAATAAGAGTTTTAGGTTGTTTAGTCTTCTCCAAAGTGCCTCCTGGATCTGAATAGCTAAAGGCGATATTCTTTTGTCCGTGAATGTGATGGTTTCCTTCAATTTATGTCACGCTGGGCCCAGCTCGTTTAGCATTTTCTGCACGATGTTTTCTTACGCTGTGTTAGTTTGGTTACTCTCTCCTCTCCCTCTTGGCTTCCAGGCGGCACGCCCAAGTTTAAGAGGTGAAGAGAGATTTATTTAAATCGAAACACTCGTAGCTTGAGTCGATCATGTTTTGCTAGTTAGCCTATTGCATTTTTTATACGCTGTGTTAGTTCGGATAATTCAGTAGGTTATTCTCTCCTCTCCCTCTTAGCTTACAGGCGGCGCACCCAAATTTAAAAGGTGAAGAGAGATTTTTTTCAAGGGTAAAAAACTCGTAGCTTGAATCAATCATGTTTTACTACCTAGCCAATTGCAGTTTTCATGCGCTATGTTAGTTTGGATAATTCAGTGGATCATTCTCTCCTCTCCCTCTTGGCTTACAGGCGGCACGCCCAAGTTTAAGAGGTGAAGAGAGATTTTTTTAAAGTAAAAAAACTCGTAGATTGAATCGTCATGTTTTAGCTAGTTAGCCAATTGCAGTTTTCATGCGTTGTTAGTTTGGATAATTCAGCAATTTTTTCTCTCCTCTCCCTCTTAGCTTACAGGCGGCGCGCCCAAGTTTAAGAGGTGAAGAGAGATTTTTCAAGGTAAAAAAACTCGTAGATTGAATCGTCATGTTTTAGCTAGCTAGCCAATTGCAGTTTTCATGCGCTGTGTTAGTTTAGATAATTCAGTAAATTTTTCTCTCCTCGCCCTCTTGGCTTACAGGCGGCGCGCCCAAGTTTAAGAGGTGAAGAGAGATTTTTTTCAAGGGCAAAAAGCTCGTAGCCTGAATAGACCATGTTTTACTAGCTAGCCAATTGCAGTTTTCTTACGCTGTGTTAGTTTGGTTATTCTCTCCTCTCCCTCTTGGCTTCCAGGCGGCACGCCCAAGTTTAAGAGGTGAAGAGAGATTTATTTAGATTGAAACACTCGTAGCTTGAGTCGATCATGTTTTGCTAGCTAGCCTATTGCAGTTTTTATACGCTGTGTTAGTTCGGATAATTCAGTAGGTTATTCTCTCCTCTCCCTCTTAGCTTACAGGCGGCGCGCCCAAGTTTAAGAGGTGAAGAGAGATTTTTTTCAAGGGTAAAAAACTCGTAGCTTGAATCGATCATGTTTTACTATCTAGCCAATTGCAGTTTTCATGCGCTATGTTAGTTTGGATAATTCAGTGGATTATTCTCTCCTCTCCCTCTTGGCTTACAGGCGGCACGCCCAAGTTTAAGAGATGAAGATAGATTTTTTTAAGGTAAAAAACTCGTAGATTGAATCGTCATGTTTTAGCTATTTAGCCAATTGCAGTTTTCATGCGTTGTTAGTTTGGATAATTCAGTAATTTTTTCTCTCCTCTCCCTCTTGGCTTACAGGCGGCACGCCCAAGTTTAAGAGATGAAGATAGATTTGTTTAAGGTAAAAAACTCGTAGATTGAATCGTCATGTTTTAGCTATTTAGCCAATTGCAGTTTTCATGCGTTGTTAGTTTGGATAATTCAGTAATTTTTTCTCTCCTCTCCCTCTTAGCTTACACGCGGCGCGCCCAAGTTTAAGAGGTGAAGAGATATTTTTTTTCAACGGTAAAAAACTCGTAGCCTGAATAGACCATGTTTTACTAGCTAGCCAATTGCAGTTTTCATACGCTGTGTTAGTTTGGTTACTCTTTCCTCGCCCCCTTGGCTTCCAGGCGGCGCGCCCAACTTTAAGAGGTGGAGAGAGATTTTTTTTAAATTGAAACATTCGCAGTTTGAGTCGATCATGTTTTACTACCTAGCCAATTGCAGTTTTTTTACGCTGTGTTAGTTTGGTAGATCAGTAGATTATTCCCTCCTCTCCCTTTTGGCTTACAGGCGGCGCGCCCAAGTTTAAGAGGTGAAGGGAGATTTTCTTAAAGTGAATAGTACATAGCTAAAATCGATCGTCTTTTAGCTAGTAAATGCAACTTTTTTACATTGCTTTAGATAGATAGATAGATAGATAGATAGATAGATAGCTTTATTAAAAATCCATTGCAGCCCAAGGGCTGGATTGCGGACTGTACAATACGTTGAATACTAAGACTAACTATTATAAATCAATAACAGTAAATAAATAAAACAAAGGAACAAAGATACTACGTCATGAAATTTAAGAAAATAGCCGCGAATTTACAATAAAACCATTAGAAAATAGCCGCGTTATGCATGATAAAACTATTCATTAGTCTATTTGTTCTACAAAGAGGTACGTTAAAAGCGCGCTTTCTCCTTAAGGCTACAGTACTAAGATTACGTGGCGGCAAAAGGCCATGTAATTTGTGGAGGCTGTTGTCCTTAATCTCATTGAATAGGCGCTCTGTCAGCCATTGGCGCCGTTGATGGAGGGTGGTAATATTGCACTCTTTGAGAGCCTCTTGATAGCCTAAATCTGGGAAAATAATTCTAAGTGCACGGCGCTGAATTTTCTCTAGCTCTTCAGAAAGATACTCAGGCAGACCATTGTGGAAAACTTGGCAGGCATATTCAGACATGGGCCGGATACACGTAGTATAGAAACAAAGTAGCTGCGCAGTTTAGTTTGTATAATTCGGTAGATTTTTCTCTCCTCTTCCTAAAGGCTTATAGGCAGCGCGCCCATTCTTAAGAAGCTGTGATAAAGTATAAAGTAAGTCACAGCTTGAATCGATCTTGTTTTAGCTAGTAGTTACAGAGTTGTTGCTTTTGTTCATATTTTGTTTTCGTTAGTGTATATAATTCAGTAGATTTTTATTCTCTCTCCCTCTTAAGTCTTTAGCTCTTATGCGATGCGCCCAATCTTACTACAAGTGGTGTTGGTTTCAAAAGCGAAATTTAGTAATTGTGATTTTTTTTCTGATCTACGGCTCTCAGTCTGGATAATATATTTAGCGTGATGCCTGTGTTTGATGTACACCGGAAACCGGAAAAAAGCTAGTTTTTTCCGCGGGCGGCAATACTTTAATTTCGACAGTTTAAGGTAAAATATTAAGATAATGTCTAAATCATTTGTGAACTGTGGTAGTTTTTTTTTTTTTTGCCTAAATATCTCTCTTCGATCAAATGTGACAATTAGGCCAGATTTATAGTAGCGATGTAAAAATTTCCTCGGTGTATGTTGAAACCGAACAAACCTCGTGGGTATCCGCTTTGGCGGGTGATCTCCCTGAGAGATAACTGAGTTGTTGTTTTCATTGTTTATTCATCAAGTTCTCAGTTGTAATTATTTTTCGGTAATATTGTTCTTATTTATTGTTTATTGAGTGGGTCGGCTAAAATTAAAGACGAAGAGTGAAGCTCCAATGCAGAATTTTTGAAGTCTATTTGATATTATGCTTTCGACAGTGCACGTGAATAGCAACTAGGTTGGGTGTCCACTTAAGATAAACTGGATTAAGTGTCGAAGATGAAAGATTGCTCAATAAAACGAACATTGTTGACAGCTTTAAGATAGGCTCAGGGTCTCTTGATGTAATATAACCCTTGGTTCAAAACAATAGACTAGGCGCCTCGCCCTTCAGAAATATGCTGTTGTTTACAACGACTGGTCATCTCGGAACCCTAACCTTCATCATCATCGGTCATTTGAGGGGTACTGTGAAAATATACCACAAGGCGCGGTTAGAGTGGAATTATGGGTAGGACAGTGTAGTGGCTACACCCTGGGTGATGCTCACACCGGATGGGAGTCAGTGTCCCGGATAATGATAGAAGAAGTATCTAGGCCCCAGTCCTAATAAGAGCGCCTCCCTCCTTTCCTAGGGTTGGCTTTTTATGCCCGGAATGAATGTTGTGTGCGTGTGTGTTAAGAAATTCATATACAAATATAGAAAAATATAACGCGTGCGGAGGCCATTTTATTCAGCGTAAACATCGCCGGCTTAAGAGTATCAGTATTTCTCTTGTTTTGCTATTCACTCTGTCTTCTATCCTTGCGTAGAGCAGAGCTCAATACTAATAACGTAAACATTTGAACAAGTGAGAAGAACCAGAACAGATCAACCTTCAAAGAGTGTAAAACTTAAACACCGATTACCTCAAAATCATGATCAAAGAAAACAATCTAAAGGCCTTGGCATGGCTTTCTGGCGCTGAACCAAAATTCTAATTTAATACAGAAATAGATACACTCTAAACATTTAACTGAGGTCATCTTGAATTGTTGCCATGTTAGAAACAGAATAAACTCGAACAAAGCATAATCAATAAAAACGAAGCAACAACTTACATGTAACATGGTATCGACGTCTTAAAATTCTCTGCCATTAAAATTACGCATTTTTTTAACCATATGGTCAGAACAAACAAAACGTGCGTGTCCATGGGTAGTGGGAAAATTATCTGATGGTGTAAAAATTAAAAATAGAAACCACACCTATGTTTTGAGCTTGTTTAGCTAGAGCTTGACCAAAATTTCAGTTGACTACTCACACGTACTGATTACCCACTTAAAGAGGCCGGATATTGTTTAATACGTGGCTGCATTAAATATTTAGTTGTTCGAGAAAGAAATAGGAACAAGGACCAAATTAGTAACACCAAATATTACTGCCCGTAAAGAAATGAAAATAAGCAGGAAAGCAAGATTAACTTAATATTCGCTATCCAATAAAAGAGCACAAAGCAAGGATCACAAAACACTGCTGCAGCATTTTGCTCTCCCGTTGATGTATGTTTTTCTGCGAATTCGTTGGGAACAGCCAAATCACCTCAAATATCTTTTACTCTCGATCAAATGTGATTAAATTAAATGAAAGTAAGGGTGACCTGTTTCTTCTAAACACTATAAACGGTGACCTTAGAGCAACACAAGCTTCCAACTCTTAATTTCTTTTATGTTTCAATAACTCCACTTCAAATGGAAAAGGGAAAAATATTTAGCTAAGGGGTTTCTTGGAACTTTTATCTGACGGTTACCTTAAATAAAATGACTCGAAGATACAATAAAATAAGTAAACCAAGAAAATGATAAGTAACACAAAACAGATTCTTCGAATAAATGCGTTCTTTTGCCAGAACCATACTATCAAACCAGCGATCCAGAGCTGATCTCAAATTCTTGAAAGCGAACAGGTAAAACTACCATATTTTTTGCTGCCTTAAGAGGCTACTTCATAGTCTATGGAAAATTGCAAAGACGGAGGAGAGAATATCGATCAACAATTTTATTAGAGCATAAGCATTGTAGAGAAAAATTGCTATAAACACGCGATGAACAAAAGCCGAAAACAATTGTTCTACTTCCTGTGTTGTACATCGGATAAACCAATCTGTGAAAGATCTTTTGTTCTTTACCCCTTGTTATGACTAAATAGAGATCTTTCACATAACTCCAACTAGAGCCACTATGGTGCAAACGTCCATAAGGGCCTGTTTACATGGAGTGGGGGACCCCGGTCTAGTGGGGTTGGTTTATTTTGTGTTCCCGCTCTGGGGGACACAAAACAAAAAAAACTAACCCCACTAGACCGGGGTCCCCCACTCCATGTAAACAGGGTCTTAATATGTAAAATACGCGGTTTGTTTTCCCATGGTTAACTTTTCCTTTATTTGCGACACGCACGAATAGAACCATCAAATAAAACACGAATTGTGTGACAAAAAGCGTTTTATTTTCAACGTTTTCATTTAAGAATACTATAAACTGAAAAAAATGAACAAACGGACATTGAGAGTTCAATATTTTGCATGTTTAGTCCTCGTCGGTACTGTCGCTATCGAATTTATTTAGGATGCGTTCTATTTTACTCAACATTTTCACTGAGCCTTGCCACACATCTCCGTGTGCGCCTTGCGGGCTTCTTCCGATGTCCGCTGTTGCTTTCTGGAGCGCTTTCTCTTAGGGTTTGTCCTGTTTTGGATCAGGCGGTGCGGTGTTGGCTTCCCTTGCGAGATCAGCATCGGCATCGGTGTCTGAACTATCTTCGTCAAGACATACTGCCTGGCTAAATTTCGCGGGTTTTCACTCTTCTGGTGTGCACTTCTTCGCATATCGCATCCAGTTATCCCTAAAAGTCTGTGACATCGCCCTCTCGCTTGTACTTGTCATGGCAGTCAGCTGTTTAGTTTTTTGGAGGTTTCGGGAAACAATTAGTCTAGTTTTGTTATCGATGTTTCTCTCGGGGTAGAACGATAGTATTCCCTGATGCTTTCGTTCTTCATAAAATTTCCAGCCAAGGGTTGACTTAAGCGTTTCTTTATTGCCGTTAAAATTTCATCCCAGCCCGAGTTTTCGCTGTAGGCTTGTAGGACTATCTTTTGCTCAACTCCCGTTATCTGGTAGCGACGCTTTTTGGTTTTCTTAGCCTTAGGCTTGTTATTGTCTATAGGGTGGTGCCCATTTTATAGAGATATTTTCGCAATCAATTGTCATGGAATTCTCTTGGAGGAAACTGGCGTTATTTTCCAAATGCAATAGGGTGTATCGACGGGACTCCGCGTGAAATTTACAGACCGCAGGTCGAGCCCAGCGAGACTTTCTCAGTGGCCATCATCATTCTGCACTTTCCAGAAGTTAATAGAAAAACAAGAAACAAAATAAGCAACAAATAATAGAGAATATTGGATATGGCCTGGTTGTAACGCCATAACCCACTTTAATTATACCCAAAAGAAAAAACACTACAGCAAATGAAATAAAACTAAAAGCTACATGTAAGTGTGCCAGGGTGGCCAGAAAAGACCTGTCCCAAAAAACCCCTTAAGGAAATAAGCACAGGAAATCTTGGGCGGGCCTGGCGCAACTTACGTCCCCCGCCATGACTCTAAACAAATTACTCAGAACTGCAATAGACAAAAGCAGAACTTCTAATATATAAAACGATGACATGTGTACACTGGAAAATATACTAAAACTTGTATACACCTGGACTGAAAGTGACTTAGATAAGGCTAAGCGCTAACAATTACACGCAAATTCTGGAGAATATACCGAAATATATCTATATCTCTACGAAATCATTTTTAGCTAAGGGGTTTCTTGGAACTTTTATCTGAAGCGTACTGTAAAGAAAACGACTCGAAACAAGTAAACCAAAAAATTGATAAGTAGCACACGACAGCTTTTTCGAATGAATGTGTTTCTTGTCGGGGCCATGCTATCAAACCAGCCATAATAATAATAATAATAATAACAATAATAATAATAGTAATAATAATAATAATAATAATAATGCGATATTCAGCTACTCTTTCATAGCGCTTTACAATGATCAGGTTAACGTACAGGGACGGATCTAGGCGGAGGGTGCAGGGGGTGCGCCCCCCCCCCCCGAGATGACATGCGGTTTTCTAATACAACTGGTATTCTGCCCAAAAAAAAAAAAAAACTATGTGGTTTATTGGTATTGAACTAGAGAAAGAGACGAGTGCACCCCCTCCAAAAAAAATTCCTGGGTCCGCCCCTGACGTAAAACCTAAAAGCTAAAAAAATTTAATAAAATACCGAGATAAAATGGTTACAAAGCTTGAAAAATATACATACATTATACAAAAAATGAAAGTTAAAATTCTAAGGTCTAAAAATACCAAGATAACATTACAGATATTGAAAGAAAAAAAAAACGTGTATTGAAAATAAAAGTTAAGAACCATAGGCTTCTTTACAAAGATAAGTCTTCAAATGTCTTTTAAAAACAGCAAGTTATTCCATTGCCTTGGCGCAGCAATGCTGAACGCCCGATCTCCGTAAGTCTTTAGTTTAGCCATTGGCACAGTAAGCAGTTCTTGCCCACTGGAGCGTAAAGATCGAGAGCACTTACGATGGCTCAGGAGACTAGAAATGTAAGAGGGTGCTTTGCCATTGAGTGCTTTATAGACTAACAACAGGAGCTTAAAAATAATACGTGAATGCACGGGGAGCCAGTGTAGCTTGAACATTCTTTGGGGTAATCGAATCATAATTCCTTGTTAACGTGACAATGCGAGCTGCGGTTTTCTGAGCACGCTGTAATCTACAAACTAAGTATTTTGGAATACCGTATACAAGTGAGTTACAGTTCTATACCCCTTGTTATGACTAAATTAGCTAGATAATTGGACGATAACAATCTTTTCTGTAATTCGTCTTCTTCTTATTATTATTATGTGTTTTTTGTATCCACATTAAACATTAAAAATACATGCACAGGCCGGGATTCGAACTCGGGCTTCCCGCATGGCAGGCGAGAATTCTACCACTGAACTGGCACCAGAGCCCTATTAAAAACTGACTCGTTGCCTTAAAAGAGGCATTGTGGTGGAATTTTTATGGTGAAAATAAAAAAAGGAAAAGGAAAACAAAAACACACAAAAACAAACAAACAAACAAACAAACAAAAAAGGTAAGGTAGAAAGGGATAAACAAATAATCCGGAAGTAAGCGCCCCGCGCTCACCTTGTTAGGGAGGCCTTGGTGATGGGGGGCTATCTAATCTTTACTTATTGACTTTTCACTTTAAATTCACTTTCTTGTTTATGAAAAGGAAATTGCAAGAGATTCACGCGTATTCAAATGGTAATGAGAAAGAAGGAGGCCTCTTTGGAGCGAATTATTGATCGACGAAAAAAAGTACCAAAGCAGCTGGTCAGCGGGAAAATGAAACACTATTAGTATTCCTTTTCTAGAGAAACTGTAAAAACCTTTGGCTAGGGCTTACATTTTAAAAATTTCTACTCACAGTTAAATTTCCTGGACGTGGTGAAATTCTTTCCATTGTCTAAGATTAAAACGTGCAGAAAGAAAGACGAAGCCCAAAAA